CCCGTCCGCCAGCTGAACGTCTACGTCTGGTGGAGTGGCCGGGTTTGGTGGTGTTGCTGTCGAGTCGGTGGTGGCGGATGGTGGCGGATGGTGAGTCTGATGGCTGGGTGGTCGGGTGTCCCCGGGTCGGTGTTCGTGGGCTTGGCGGGGGCTCGGTTCGCCGGCTGGTCCGTGCAGAAGGCGGTGTGGCGGATGCCGCCCGTAGGATCCGCATCCGTGGCGAGGCTGGTGAGCCTGCGGCTGTATGCAGGGCTCTTAGCTCCGCGCTCATCCGTCGCCGGAGCTGAATCGGCGGTGGTGCTGCCAGCCAGGCAGCTTTTTCTCGCTGCTCGCGGTCGAACCTTTGGATGCGTGTCCCCACGCTGAGTACGCTTGGGCCGACGGTAACTTGGGCGCACGCAGGCGCCTCGTTATCGGAGTCGTCGGAGATATCGCCGAATAGGCGACGCACTTTGTCTTGTCGTGTCGACATTGTGGAGAGAACTAACGGCTAGCGGTCGCTTGTCGTGTATACAAACTCGGGTAGGTCGTGCCATGATGTGTGATATGGTAAACATTACGGCTGGCTTGCGGCGCGGTCGACCTTTGCCCCAGGTTTTGTACATCAGGAATGCGGTTACGGGCCGTGTTTACATTTCGGGCGGCGCCGGTTTTAGGTCTTGAATGTGTACGCGACGATACCACTTGTTTTCTATCGGGTCGCGTAAGTCGACTATGACGGGCGATATTATCGATCTTACGATTAGCGGTCCAATATATTTTGGCGCGAGTTTCGCGTTGAACGCTTCGGCTTTGTCGGAGAGGTGTCGATCTCGTTTCCAGACCCCTTCTCCAACCTTTAGACGCCAGTCTCGGCGATGCAGGTTGTAATGCCGTTCCTGACGTTGGAAGGCTCGCGCTAGTTGTACCCGGACGACCTCGTAGGCTCCCTCCAGCTGCTGCCGGTTCACCCCTAGGTTTCTGCCGATGGCGGTTACGGTTCGGTCTTCAGGGTGCGGCCTGGCCAGTTCTCAGCCGTGGTTGAGGAAGGCCGGAGTATAGCCGGTGATCTCGTGCCGGACGGTGTTATACGCGAATTGTAACGCGTGTATGCGTTTGTCCCAATCGCGATGGTCGCGTCCGACGTATTGTGCAATCATTGTTTTGATCGTCCGGTTTGCCCTTTCCATCGGGTTGCAATGTGGTGCGTAGGCGGGGGTTGTGCGGTGTCGGACCCCGAACGTACGGAGCATTTCCCGGAATTCCCGTGACGTGAATTGGGTGCCGTTGTCGGACATAACTTCGCTAGGCGTCCCGTGTCGGTAGATTAGCCGGTGGGTAACCTCTCGCGTGACGGTGGATGCGGTGGCCTGACGGAGGGGTGCCATCTCGACCCACTTGCTGAACCGGTCTTGCATGGTCAGTAGCCACGTATGCCCTTAGCGGGATCGTGGTAGAGGTCCAACCAGGTCTATGGACACCTGTTGCCATGGGGTGTCTACCGGAGTTGAGTGCAAATTGCCCGCCGGTCGTTGTTGGAAACTTTTATGTGCGAGGCATGTTTGACACTTTCGGACGTAGTTGGCTCCCGGAACATGTTTGGCCAGTAAGAGGCTCGGGCTACCCGAGCAATCGTTTTGGCGGTTCCAAGGTGTCTGGCGGCTGGCTCGTCGTGAGCGCGTTGTAAGACGGCCGTCCGTTGGTTACGGGGGACGCACTGCTTCCACTGTTCTTCGACCGGGATATCGTGGAAATTGAGATTGTGTAACAGGTAGTGATAGAGGCGTCCGTCTCGGAGTTCGTAATCCGGGTATCCGGCCGGGTCGGAACGTACCGCCGCCTCCAAGCGTTGGTACCACTTGCAGGTATCCTCCTATTGTACCGCACTTCCGGTTCTCTCGACAGGGCGTCGGCCAGCTGGTTCTGGGAACCCTTGCGGTATTTGATGTCGAAGTCGAATTGTTGCAGTTCGAGTGCCCAACGGGCCAGAATTCCGGTTGGTGAGTCGATTTTCTGGAGCCATCGTAGTGATTGGTGGTCCGTTATGACCGTAAAGCGGTACTCTTCTAAGTAATCCCGCATTCGGCGTATACCCCAGATCACTGCCAAGCACTCGAGTTCCGTGGCGTTGTAGTTTTTTTCTGCGAAACCTAGCGTTTGGCTGGCGTAGGCCATTACCCTTTCTCCCTCGTCGTGTTGTTGAGTTAGTATGGCGCCGAGGCCTACGGTGCTAGCGTCGGTTTGTAACACAAA